TTATTATATATTTCTGATATTTACATACACAGATATATTTATGTAGTAATTTTTAGGAATGCAACTTTTATCTCTAAGAGTCAACTGCATACTTCCTTTGTCTGAATATAGCTTTCGCTATACAAAAGCAACAAGATTACAAATTCCAACTATCATTGTGGGCTCTCTGAACACATCTGATATTTTCCCTATAAAATGAATAGTCTAAAAAGATGGTCTTATCAGATAAGAAAAACATAATACCATTGTCAGTGTAGATTTGGGAAAAATAAATTATATATTATATAAATTCTTATACTAAAGAATAAATCAAGACTATTGTAACCTTATCTCAGTCTGCCTTAGTTGATACTAAACACAGAGTGGCAAGGGCAGCTACTCTCAGATACAGAAGTCTTAGAAACTGTTCATATGAAGAGGAAGAGAACAGTAGGATGGGATCGCATGCTTTAGAACTACTTCACAAGACCCCCTAGAAGGGCTCAAAAAGGTAACATTTGATATAATACATGATTTATTTCATGATGCTCTCTCAAAATATATGTGCTAACAGTCTGGATGTGGTGGCCCATGCCTATAATCCTAGCACTTTGGGAGGCCAAATCAGGAGGACTGCTTGAGGCTGGGAGTTACAGACCAGCCTGGGAAACCTGTACAAAAATAAAAAATTACCCTGACCTGGTGACCTGCACCTGTAGTTCCTGCTACTCAGGAGCCTGAGGCATGAAGATCGCTTGAGCTCAGGAGTTGGAGGCTACAGTAAGCTATTATCCCACTACTGCACTCCAGCCTGAGAGACAGAGTAAGACTCTGTCTCCACCAAAAAAATAAAAAAAAATAAAAAATATATATATATATATACACACACACACATATATATATTTGCTGTAGGAAAAAAATTTAGGAGTTATAGATAATGAAGTACAGAGCTCTTCAAAGCTAATAAAATGTATCACGCGAAACTATGATGATTTCATCAAACACTATTTCAACTGGCTTGCCCTATTTAACTCTCCACTGCAAAACTTTAAATTGACAGAAGCAGTTTCTTCAATATGTCATTAAAAAAAAGTACCAAAGAAATCACATATTTACACAATTTGCATACCAGGTAAGGATCTCTTCTTCATGTTGTCAAACAAGATTTTATTTATTTTTATTATTTTTTATTTCAAAATGTTAAGGGGGTACAAATGCTTTTGTTCATGAATACCTAGTATAATGCTTACAGTGGGGCATTTAGTGTGCCCATCACCAGAGTAGTGTTCACTGTACCTGACCGATATGGTTTTATCCCTCATCCTCCCACCCTCCCTTATCTTGCTTTCCAATGTCCTTTACACATCTTTGTGTCCACATGTGCCCATCATTTAGTTCTCAATTATTAGAGAGTACACATGTTTTTTTTTTTCCATTCCTAAGATATTTTGCTTAGACAATGGTCTCCAATTCCATCCAAGTTGCTGCAAAAGACATTATTTCATTCCTTTTTATAGCTGAGTAGGACTCCCTGCTGTGTGTGTGTCACATTTTCTTCATCCACCCGTGAACTGACCAGCACTCAGGTTGATTCCGTATCTGTGCAACTGTGAATTATGCTGCAACAAACATTCAAGTGCAAGTGGCTTTCTGATAAAACGACTTGTTTTCTTTGGGGTAGACACCCACTAGTGGGACTTGAATGGTAAGCCTACATTTGAATTGAGTGGTGAACCTACATTTATTTCTTTGAGAAATCTCCATACTTTTCCCCATAGGGTTATACTAATTTGCAGTCCCAACAACAGTGTAGAAGCATTCCTTTCTCTTTGCATCCATGCTGGTATGTGTTGTTTTTAAACTTTTAATATTGGTCATTCTGACAGGAGTAAGATGGTTTCTTATTGTGATTTTAATTTGCATTTCTCTGATGATAAGTGACACTGAACATTTTTCTATGTTTGGTGGCCATTTGTCTATCTTCTTTTAAATAATTTATGTTCATGTCTTTTCACCACTTTTTAATGGGGTTATTCATTTTTTTCTTGCTGATTTGAGTTCTTTGTAGAACTCCTGGATCTTACCCCTTTCTCAAATGTATAGTTTGTGAATATTTTTTCCCATTTTGCAGGTTGTCTATTTACTCTGTTCATTATTACTTTTGCTATTCAGAAGCTTTTTAATTTAATTAAGTCCCATTTATTTATTTACCTATTATTGTTTTTGCTTTATCTGCCTTTGGGGTCTTAGCAGACCATGACATACATTGGGGAGAAGAAGCCCTTTTCAACACATGGTGTTGGGAAAATTGGATAACCATATGCAGAAGAATAAATAGTACCCCTATCTCTGGTCTTATATAAAACTTAATTCAAGATGGATAAAAGACTTAAAATGTAAGGCATGAAACCATAAAAAAATCCAGAAGAAAAATGTAGAAAGACTCTTACAAACATAGGTCTAGGTAAAGAATTTATGACTTTTAAAAAATGTTTCCCTTATCCATAATATTATAGTTTTAAATGAACACCTAGAATTATAGCAGAGTGAAGCTTCGACTTATTATAATCAGCCATGTCAAAGCTAGGCAGTATCATTTTAGAAATGCAAATAATACAAAAATCGGAGGATAAATACATGAGGACAAAAGTATGATATTCATTTTGGCTCTATGGTTACAGGTAGCCTTATTGTATTTTCTATTATTGGAAGTTAGCCATTGAATGGAAAATTCCTGATACTAACAGACTGCTAAATTCAAGCCACCAGCAAAAAAACTGAAGTCCAGATGGGTCGTTCCCTTGGATTACATGTACGCCAAAAAAAGCAATAGTTAATCTCAAGAAAAGCTCTGCATATACAGACAATGAAACAGATTCTAAATCACATGTCGTCTGAAATGTGGCAAGTCCAAACTGAGATGCGCTGTTTAAGTGTAAAATACATACTAAATTTCAAAGACTTAGAAGAAAACAGGAATGTAAAATATTTCATTAAAATGTTTTATGTTGATACATATAAAATGATAATATTTTGGATACATTGGGTTACATAAAATTTATTTTTAAAATTAATTTCACCTGTCTCTTTGTACTTTTTAAATGTGGCCACATTTTTATATGTGTGCCTTGCTTTATATTTCCACTGGATAGCACAGCTCTAAATGAATGAATTATGGTGGCCAGCTGGTGCTGGGCTGTACACACAGCTGCCCACACAGATGTTCTTTCCATGGCAGGTGTAATGTGTGGTTACGCAGAAAGTTAAAAGAGAAAAACACTGAAAGAAAAAGCTAGTGGGGGAGAAATTAAGAAAAAATTGGAAAAAATTATTAGTGCTTTAGAAATTCTTTAAAAACATATTCTTTGCTTTTGTTACTTGAGCATATTTTAATGAGCATACGATTAAGGTGAATAAGAAAATTTCTCATATGAATAAATACCTCTTTCCATTAAACTAACACCTTAGGAGTCATATATGTTGAAACAAGTAGATCTATTTCTTTGAATAATGATTTCATTTTTCGTATTTTTAAAATTCGATTGAAAGGTCCTCAGAAATGAAGTTATGCATCTGAGTTATTTTCTATTATCATGCTGAGCTATTTTCTTCTGGGAGTTGGGAGAGGAGGAAGAAAGGTGGCCTGGTGATATCTGGGGGGACTGACAGGTTCTGGCGTCCCTGGCCTTCTTCTGACATTGGAAGGACTTCTAGGCTCCTCTGCTTGAGCTTTCAGGCAAGCTTCTAACCACTGTGTTGTGAGGACTCAGTCATATTTGAGCGAGTTTATGAGAGGAGGGTACGTGAGCTTAATCCACATCTAAGTAGAGAAGAAAGATTAGAGGAAGGAGGTATTGGCCTGGTGTGGGGAGGGCAGGGGGAAGAGGAATCTAGACTAAATAGAACAAAGCAGGTGCAAGCCTAGAAAGAAGAAGACAAGGCACGGATGCACCAGAAAGGAAGAGGCCACAGTAAGGACACCTGTGTCCCTCAGGGGCAGAGACCCAGCATCATCCTTTCTGTTTTTATATCCTGAGTCTAGGTAGTTTAAAGGCTTTGCTTCCACTGCTGGACAGTAACAAGAGCAGTGACTAGTAATGAGTCTCCTTCTGGATCTTTGGAGTACTTCGGGGACTGCATGGCCTTCAGGACTACAGATGTACAATATTAAACAGGGGCTGTCTAAATTCCTTTGACATTTTGAACACTTTTACTTCAGAAAACTAACATATAAAGCTAAGAAGTATTAAAATTTTTGCAATACTGAAAGTGTTATTTCAGATACAGGAAAAACTTATCACTCGAACAGATCAAACAGAAGACAAAGACTTGAAAGCTGTTAGATTTATACCTCTGTAACATTCGAATATTTTTCCAAAATGAAAATAAAAATGCCAGTAAAGCATGTGGACAAACAACAAGATACAAACCAACTGTAACTGGGGGAACAAAGAGCTTGCTATTTAAGGAAGCAAAAAGCACACATTTATTCAGAGTACTTGGTATGATTCACTCATTTTTTACAACGCACTGAGCTAAGAACAAAGGTGAAGTGGATTACCTGGGAATAGGAATATATCGGAGTTTCTTTGATTGAAGATCAGTGACTTCTATATAACCAGCTGTGTGTGGAGGGGTCACATCTGCAAACAAGTCATGACATGAGCCAAGCATGAAATTACTGCAAGACACCAAAACAGGACCAAAACATGATTCAAATGCTGCCGGAAGTAGAAGAACATTACTAGGAGCCTCAGTGGGACTCTGGAACCTACTGGACACGGTACTGGGTGAACCCTCCTGGCTAGACTCCGAGAATTATGCTTCCCTTAGGGAAACAAAGATTGTTGAACAAAAGCATATTCGGCTATGATTCTCCAGTGTCAGGGAAAAACAAATTCTTTTCATTGTCCGTGACAGCACCTCAAGATGAGTTGATGTTTTAGCACTAACAGTTTGTGTGACAAAATTTCATTATCTGAATTCTGTTTTTCCTTCTTTGGAAGTAACAATAATGCAGTATAATGTGGCAGAATTGGCAAGCCACTCTGTAATCCAACTGACCTGATGTGACGTCTTGGTTCTGACATTTCCTAGCTGTGCTGTTGGTTAAACTGTTTACCTTTCTGAGTCCTGCTTTTCTCATTTGTAAAACAGTGATACTAGCAGCATCTGAGCATCATAAGCATTATTTTGAGGATAAGATGACATTAGCAAAGGTAAAGCATCTAATTAGTTGTTGCTCTACACAAAGTATCTGTCAGAATTATGGGTCCTATAAGACACAGGAAGGAGAAGGGAGGATGGCGCAGTGGGGTGAAGATCCCAGAATTTGGATAATAATCCTGAATGACAATCTCAAACACCATAATTCCAAATATGGAAATCCTAAAAGATCAAAATGCCTAAAGTCTAAACTCCTGAAAATCAAAATTACAGTATAGTTGCATCATATTAGGTAGAACCATTACGTTGTTACTATGTTTACCTGGAAACTAAGTATGGTTTAAGAAGATGCAGATGGCTGCCAAGGTGACAAGAGATGGACTTAGGAACTCAATATTACGTGTCACTTTGACTAAAAAAGGAATACCTAGAAACCTGGAAAAACATTATTCTGAGCGTCTGGGAAGGTGTTTCCAGAGGGGATTAATTGTACTCGTCTGAGTGGACTAGGTGGGAAAGATCTGCCCGCAGTGTTGGCAGCACCATCTAATTAGCTGGGGCCCTGGAGAGAACAAACACAAAAGGCAAACTGATCTCTGAGAACGGGGACAGAGTTTTCTTCTGCTGCTGTGGACATCAGAATTTCAGGCTTCTAGAAGGTTGTTCGTCATGATTTTTCAGATGACCATAGTTACAAAGCTGGGCACACATAATTACCAACCATAGTGACATGGATTTATACATTCCTCTTTTTGAATGTCAATTTCCTTATGAATACATTTCATCTTAACATAACTATTATACCCAGGTGACTGCCGTTAGCATACCTGAGTGTTTATGCTGGAAAAACTGTGTGATATTATTACTTATTTTATCATAGAAAGTGGGCTACAAAGTGTTCTTTTGTGCTTTTATATGTTTTTCAAATAAATCTCCTTTAAAAAATATAAATAAATCTTTTAAATAAGTTTTCCCCCTAGAATTATATTTTTGGAATCTTAATATTTGGGGATTGTGATTTTAGCCTCTAGGAATTTTGATCTTTAAAGATTTCAACCTTTGGGATTATGGCTTGAAGGACTGTGTCTTTTGGGATTATGAGAGGCTTCCAGGACTCTGGATCATGAAGAATGTGAAAAGTTGGGGGTAGAAGATAATGAGATATGGGGACCAGAACTTTCAACTCCAATTCTGGTGTTGGTTTCCCAGCAAATTCTTGGGCTTTACTGACTTTTGTTCTACATCCCTGAGTACCAGCATCATCCTCAAAATCATGAGCTGCCACTACTGTGCTTTAGGAACTATGCTTAGCTTTTATAGGTAATGCTTTTAATATTGTCAATGATAAATATTTATGGTTCCTATTTGAGAGATAAAGAAGCTGAAGTTTACAGAACTAATATAATAATGTGACTTACTCAGAGGGACACAGCTGGATGGTGATGGAGGTGCTTTTCCAATTCATGCCTTTTTGTTTCTAAAATCTATCCTCCGGCCACCACTAAATACAACACCTACTTGAGCTGGCCCTGGGGCAATAGCTATTTATAAAATAGTCCCATTTTATAACATTTTGGCCACTAAGTTCTCTTAAAAAAAATCTTCTACACAACCCATGCTTTTAAGGATTTTTGTCTATCTTTTAATATAACTTCTGATTAATATACATACATCTATCTAACGATCTATCTTTTATTATAATTTCTGATTAGAATGAGATATTCAGAATGCCCACAATGAATTTGTCAAATGCAGTTTACAAAATATAAGAAACTTGGCATTTTATCATATTTCATGCTTGTAGTTGAAGGTTTTTAAATAGGTCATCTGCCATCCGAGAAACCCAATATGTCTCTTATTTATTCAACAAACATGTTTGAACTTACTTCGCGGCAGGAATTGTGTAAAGTGCTGGGGATTCAGAGGGGAAAGAGATGTGGTCCCTGCCTTTCCGGAACTCACAACATAAAGAAGAGTCTCCCTCCTTTCCTCCCTTCCTCCCTTCTTTCTCCCCTCACTCCCTTCTTTCCTTTTATCTTTTAAATCATTATGGGCCTTTGGGGACTTGGAAAGGATTCCAGAGTGGAAATCATGGCACTGGGGCCAGGTATGGGCTGTGGGGCGAGGCAAGGAGTGGTCCCAGAAGGCGAAAGGCTCCAGAGGGAAGGAAGGCAATGTTGAGGCATATGAAGGGGTAAGAAAAGAGAGTTACTATAGTAATTTATACCCAAATCCACCTGGATTGGCTGTCCCCAGGTATATCTGTATAAAACAAACATGCTTATAAGTCATAGACCATCTGCCTTGGAAATGCTGCTGGGATATAAGGTCGATCTTGGATAAAGTTTTGCACCATATATAATTTTGACGATTCTTGCTGCTAGAACCTAACTGAAATAGGTTGAATTATTTATATATCAGGGTTCTTTGCCAAAAATAACCAGTTATTGAAGCTCTTAGGGTTGACTAGAACTGCTCAGCTAACCAACTTACTTACATGTTAGCATTCAGAGATACTTTTTAAAACAAGTAGTAGTATTAAGTTGAGGTACTGTACTGATTAGCACTTTTAGACTGCCTGTGAGGGCAAAGTAAGCCAACTTATTCTAAAATAGCTTTTTTTCTGAGTCTTCTCTTTCACTGTTTAATTTTATGGCGTAAAGAAGGTGAGAAAATACAATAATGGCTGCATCTTCTATTTCAAGCAGGAAAAAGCAAGAGTTTCACCTTTAGTATTAAAAAATATTTTCATGTATCAGACAAAAGAATTTGTGGCTACAAAGAGCTTGGAGGGAACAGCAAGGATAGTAGCACTGGTAAGCATTTGAAAATAATCAAAATTGATATTTGCTGATTTGAAAATAAATCATCTCAAAAGACAAAAATCTTTACAAAAAGGGCCTTACGGCTGTCCTTGAACAGAATACATAACTCAATTAAGGAAGTTAAAACTGTGGCCAGGTTTCCCTCCAAGCTTAGCCAAGTCTTCATCCATCTATTTTAAATGTTTCAACACTGTAGAGAGGATGGAGGCTCAGTAAATTTCCATTACATTTATAATCCAGGTGGATTTCGACGATAGGTATAAACTGTATTTGGGGATTAGTTCACTAACCATTAAAGGGAAGTCACTATTGCACTGTTTATTGCAGAGTTCCCATGAAAGGTGGGGACAGTTTACACGCACAGTGCCGAGGTCAGGAGGAGGCATGAAAGCTGTCAGGCAAAACCACCAAGAACATTTTCAGAGGGAAGGTAAAATTATATTTTAAAAACTTCACTACTTCTAGAAATATAATTTGATGGACACTTGTTAACCACTAGGTGTAGTGAAATTCTGTTTACAGACTAAAAGAATGATATGTTCCCAACAAAGGTGCCAATACCAGATTTTTAGTTTCATTCAAAGTTCAAAAACAACAACAAAATACAGTGTACTGCTTTCAACCAAGAATCATTATTTTGTGTGTAAAGTGCTAAGACCTGTGATTTTTAAAAAAATCTAATTAAATTAAGAATCATTATTTTGTGCTTAAAGTGCTAAGACCTGTGATTTTTTTTTAATCTAATTAAATAAAAATTACCCCTTCTGTGTGAAAGTCACCAAGAGGGTCATCCTTACAATTTTTATTGATTTCTTTCACAAAAGGCTGGTATGAATTGGTTCCTGACAAGTAAGATGGTTGGATTTGATTTATTTTAAAAAATCAATTTAGTTTGAATTTTTATCAGAGATTTCCATGCACATAGATTGAATAGTCAGAAAGGCTTAAAGTAAAAGCAGAAAGCCCCTGCTTTACCCTCCCGCCCGCTATGTCCTGCTTCCCAGAGACACTTCCACCTTTTTAGACTGTTTCTGTGGTTTCACCTTCATCTTCCCCGTGCTGTCTTGATGTTTTAGTTGCAGGTACTATCTCCTGACTTGTTGCCATATAAGATGAGAGTGTAACTTTTTTTCATTCCCCTCCTCCCTGCTTCCTATTTCCCACACCCATATACATTGATATGATGATTTGGGTTAGATTAACCTCCAGCATCTGTATTATTATAATTATATAAATGCCGTTCATGCATTTTCTTTCCTTTATAACTTTTTGCTTTTCTTCAGAATGAATAACCATTATATTTTATTTATTTAGTCTTAACTTAGCATAAATTTATATGTAAAGTTCCCTAATTATCAAAATCTCTAAATATTTTCAAATATATTGGGTTTGTCAATTTCATTTGCTTAGCAACATCTCTCCTGTAATCTTCTCCTCTGCTCTAATCTGAACTGGTTGATCCTTAGGCCTATGCACAGGTATCAGTCTGGGGTCACCCTTTACCAAGCTCCTAAGGATTTTCTTTTCTTTTCTTTACAGGCCACATTTAAAAAATTCATCCTATGTTTCAGATACTGTCCTAAGCACTTTATATATGTTTGGAATATTTAAGGAGCACTACTTAAATAAACGAAGAGAAATAAAACGCCTAG